AGAGTAACTATTAATCAGCACTGAACTAGTCTCTTTGCTTCATTCCCCTCAGGCTGGCCCAGTTGCACCTCTTCACAACCTTTAGATGCTTGCATGAGGTGAACCATAAAATAAATTGCATTGCTAATAAATTAGGCCTGACAGTCATTGCCATTTCAAAGAGTATATGTTTTCACTGCAGTCCCTCTGCATGAGACATATCTAATTAGAGATCTCCTGACCAATATTTGTTTCGCAGGGTGCTTCATATGATACACATGAGCATAATAATGAAAGTCTTATTATTCAGCATGAAGAGTGAAAATGGAACAAGTTCAAAAACAGTGTGACGAACAGGGCACTTTGCAGAGGTGTTGAAAGATGAGTTAGTAGTGAGTGGTGGTGGAGGTGGTGTCATGCAGATGCCTGTCCCCATCGATGCATTGGAAAAGTGACATCAGCATCAACAGTGAAAATGGCTCATTGATGACCAGGGGAGGGCTACGCTGTATATAAAGGAGAGAACCTTCCTCGCACGAAAGACTGATCAAGAAGTTTGACTTCTTTGACTTCTTCTGATACAGCACTATCACAACAAAACCGGCCATACTTGTCCTGGACATAAGGACAGAAAATCTGGTAAGAATGGCATGACAGTGGGTCAGAATTTGAGTATATAAGTTGTTGTATTGGGAGGCAAGTTTTCTAACCACTATTTTGTTTCATGTGTTTCAGTTATTCAACATGTTGAGGCTCTGGGAGGCATTGGTTCTCATATTCTTCCTTACCAGTTTACACATAGAGGCTAAACCACTGAGGTACATTTTGTTTTTAGTTTTCAAAATGTGAAAATAAATCATTCACATTGAATAATTCTAATAAATAATTCATTGATGGTGGAATTCTTCTTTGGGTTAACAGTGGTATTTTTTATTTCTACAGAAAGAGAACCATCAGTGAGGTACAGCTCATGCACAATGTTCGGGAACATAAACAAGTGGGTGAAAGACAGGACTGGCTTCAGGAAAAGTTAAAGGACATAACTGTTGCCAGTGCCAAACCACAACATGGACAATCAGGGAATATTAAAAATCTTTTTCCAAATAATGTTCTCGGATCGAACATGTGGAAGAGCTGAACCTACATTTTTTTATCCTGTATCTTACTAAACAGAAGCCCCATGCAAAAATTGAGGATCTGACAGTGAAGCAATTTTTTCTAGCTGGTATTATTTTGTCTTTTTTATTGTTTATTTAACTTATTTTCTATCTTAATTTATTTTTATTCATTATTTTATTTATTTTTTTGTTGCTATTTTCTTTTTATTTATTTCTTGCTTGTATGGTAAATATTTAGATAATCTTTCACTAAAGTAATTTGTTTACATTCTTTTGCAATGTCAGCAATAGGATTAAAATTATTGAAATTAATATCTCAGACCATCAAATGGAAGAAAAAGTAGGCCTTCATACAAGTTTTTAAACAAGTTTAATATTATCTTATACTCTCCTATTCTGACTACAGTTATCAAAATCCACTATTTAAAATAAATGTTGTTTACTGTATACTGAAATATGCAAATAAGGACCAACTAGCAGCTAGTCTTACATGTACTGTTTCACTTATATAAGCATCCTCCTCATTTGTATTCTAGGTTCGATTGTCATGATCTCTTTTGCTTGTACTTTGTTGGAGTTATTGTATTCTTCTGTTCCTGATTTCTACAATAGATTTCACTAAATTCTTTCTCAAATAATCTCTGTTTGAGCTCCCTCACCTATTCTTATCTGCTTAACACTATAACTGGATTATCGCTACGTGAGCTAAACAACTCAACTCAACATTTCATATCTTGAATTAATAAATTGAAGTGTCAAAGATAGTAATCATTGCCACTGTACTGATAAATAATCCAAAGTTCTCCCTTTTCTCTTTTGGTTATCTGCAACATGTCTTCAAATGTGCTAAAGATGCTACTTTTGCAAAAAGTAAAAGAAGAAAACTAATCTAATGGTGCTTGATAAAACAGTCAAGGTTTGATTATGTAATAGTTGAAAGAAATGGATTTTATAAATACCTGCTTTTACATCCATATGGTACTTTGTAATGATCAACTCTAGCCTGGTTGTAATAGATATTTCACTTGATGTTTATCAGAAATCCCTTATAAAAATCGCCCAGTTATTCGATTAATGGTGTCAGTTAGTTTTCCACAATTGAATTGTTCAGTTCATTAAACGGAAACAACGAGCACCGAAGTATCAAATGATCAGATGAATGATTCGTAATTGATACGTTATTCAAAAGCCTAATTTTTATATAAGTAATATCCATACTGGTTTATATAAACTGTTTATTTGTGCTGAGCAAGAATTTTGTGCAAAAGGAATTAAACTATTTCTTTAGCTTGATCTGAAAATCTGGCATAATGAAAATCATTACTTTTAATAAAAGTAAAATGTTTCAACTTCTAATGACTTTCTCCTCTTTTTTTTACTGGGATTTACATGTACACACTGGTATTTATGACAGGAAAGAGGTTTTACCTTGTTTTTATCTGTTTTATCAACCAAAAAGTTAAACAAATTGTGTAAATAACTGTTAAATAGCCTATAATGAGCCTGGCCTGAAATTAATTAGAAAAAAGGATGTCATGCATTTAGCATCTAGTATGATGCCATTATATTGACTACATTTCTCCCAACACCCCCAACTCTTACTGACTTCCAGCATCCCTGACTGGACTTACAATGTCTATTACCCATCTGTGGCTCCTTAAATTTCCTCTTCAAAGGTTTCTTCCATTTCATAAGGCTTTTGGGGAGGATTCCCTCATCTTATCAGAGATGCAGGCTGAGCTAGATACAGCAACACTATATGTTATAAAGGGATAGCATTACAAATAAACCATGTTTTCTATCATTTTTTATCTAATAATTTTTTATCAGCTTATCCATGTGACTATAGCATGACTGCAGTCTGAAACCATACTCTAGAATCAGACCTGGTTAGATTTATCAGCCCATTTTCTAGTTTCAATCATCTTTCATATTTTTTCTTCTCTGGTCTGAATGGAAGAGAGGGATTATGTCAACCAGCATGAAGCCGGACATTGTAAACATCTGTGGCTATCCCAGACCTAGGATATTTTTTTTCCATTTACTTCAGCTATATGCACTATTTTTCAAGCTAGTTGAGAAAATAGAATGCCTTAAAATATGTACATCATTTAGGAAAAACAGAAGAAATCATCCTGTACAGCCAACATCCTATTTTGTATCTAATTGTTCTCCAACTGCCTTCATCATTCTGACACCATAACACAACTAATAACTAATTCTCACTCAAAGTTACTCTTTTTAATAACTATTTTCAAGTTACATGACCTAGGTTCGGTACTTTGGTGTAAACTGCATAACTAATCTTAAACCTATTCTTGTTAAACTGTGCTGAAGTAGAGTTCATAGAACGAATGTTTAGTTGACACGTCAGCTACATTTGAATCCATAAGTCATAACACTGTAATAGTGTTATTACAAAGAAAAGCCTAAAAGGTTCAGGTCTTTTGAGAAAACTTTCGGGCCTGATGTCAACATGAGTTGAGCACAAGAATGTTAGATTTTTATTGTTTTGTTTTTCCACCAACATATTTTTCATAAATTATATTAGCAATACCATAATGTGCCAATCAGATGCCATAATTTCCCAGATCTAAAGAAATGTTTCCTTGTACTGGTTTTCCATGTACTAATTATAATTAATAGTTTTATCCAAACCTATCTGCTGTTTTCCACAAGGAATAAGAACATTACAACTGTTTTTAACACTTGTAAAAAAATAATTTAAGGATCCAAGGATTTCATTGTCATTCCCAACAAGGTTGTAGAATGAAATTTAGATAAAGTTCCCTTTATGCTACATAAAAAAAATAAAAAGATCAATGATTCATAAAAAAATAAAATACAAATGATTACAAATAAAAAATATTACTAATTCTCCTATTGCCTTCGTTTCTTGTTTATTTTCTAAATGGCTGTCTTTATTCTAGGTTTTATTTATGTTTCCATTGTTATTATTTTCTACGTTGCTTACAAAGCAAATTACGTACGCAAATATCGCGAGACCTCCCAGAGTCATTCAACTCTCGATTCCTTTTTAGGAAAAAGTCAAAATCATTCTTCCAGCAGTGGAAAGGAAATCGATTACCTTCAGAACGTGTTCAACTTCAAATTCAATCCAGTTTTCAGACAAAACTAACGCGAGTGGCAAGTTTAGCAATAACAATAATACACTTTAGCTTTGTGTGCGTCAGCACGTCAGGCAACTAACGGTCGTCACGTCGGACGTCAGCGGGGTGAGTGTGTTTTGAAAGGAGATGGCTGGTTAGCTGGTTAGCTGGTGTGCGATTGGGATTACACTACAACGGAAAACGTAGCCAACTGGGTAGCTATTTGTTTTATATTTTGCCATATCTGCCTAGAATGTGACAGCCTCTATGGCAGTACTGTTGGGACAACTTCACTAGGCACAACGCTGTCTCAGGATACTGTGTTAATAGTGGTATATTGTACCGCTAGCAACGCCAGCTAATGTTAGCTAGCTAACGTTAGCTAACCTGTTCGTAGGCTGACTCAGTCTGACAGCAACGTTGATGAGATTTTGTTCTGAGGTATACTGGATTTATTCAGCCATTAAACCTCAACGACACACATACATACAAGCAGACAGCACACGATTACACTCAGTGACAAACTATTCTCTGTTAGCTGACAGCAGCTAGCCCGTGGTTCGCTCGGGGCTGATCAGGGGGATCGAACTGACTTGTTGATTTCACCATTAGCCAGATTATGAACGGTGAAAGATCCAGACCGGGCTCCCCTCTGTACGGGTGATGGCAGCACGTCTGCAGTCATATGACAGTAACTCCAGTGACACCGAAAACTGGGAACGAAACACAACAAGCCGACCTCGCAAACTCTGCAAGCATTCGAGGTGAGCCAGCTGACAATTGTCTGTCAGACCTGATGGGGAAAGTCCATAGCAGCAGTTTAGTGTCACTCACTGAGGACTGATGCTGGGTTGTAGATGTATCACGCATTTGTTACTTGAAGTGCTAAAATTGATTTTAGATATATCAGATGGTATACAGTTACAGTGGATGATTATTTATTTGTTTGTATGTTGCACATGGCTCCTGGTCTGTGTTAGGTGAAAGGTGTGACTTTGGTTTGTAGCGAAAATGCTGTGAAGTTAATTTCAAAATCATAAGTAGATGAGATTGTACTATCATGGAGTCAACAAGAGGAGTAGGGTAAAAAAGACAATATGTACAGTGACACAATGTTCAATGACTGTTTGTACCATGGTATCTTTTTTATAATCACTGGTTGTGTAAGGCCATTATAAGTAATGTTACAGATCAATGTTTTATGGTAAGATTTGATATTTGTAAATCTGAAGAAAGCCAAAAACAGAGATTCCCATTTGGATATTTATTTGGTTTATCCGGTGTGTTTGTTTAAAGTTGACTTTATGTGGACATAATGCTCTACAATTACACACACCGTGATTTGTTTAACTGATGGGGGAACTATTCTCCTAAATGGCTATGTAGTTTTTGAAAAGCACCATGTGATTATTTGTTCTGTAAAGTATAGGAGGTTGTAAGTTTGACTTTGACACAACAGGAAACAATGTGCAAACCACATCACAACTTCTTTGACACACACACAGGATGGTAGAATAGAATCAGCCAGAAGAGCTGAGACTGGCACTTGGTCATAAGGGGGTGTACCTGTAAAGTTTGCCAGCCTGTGGTCGGTGAGTGGGTTTGTACTGACTACACATTATTATCCAGCAGCTGTACCCGACTCCTCTTCCTTTTCACCCTTATATAAAATGAATAAATTGTATGCTGATGTTTTTTCTGTTGCTAAGCTGATTTGACCTGTCTACTGCCTGTCTAACTAATACTAAATCTTATTTCTTCTGGTGCATTTTCTTTTTGCACTTGACTCTAAGTGTACATCTTTCTATAACTGTGTTTTCAAGGTTTAATTAGATCGTATAAGTGTGTTAAAGCTCAGGCATTTTTGTTTTGTGTCGGATTAGACATCAAAGGTGATGGCAATCCTACTTGGCTGCATTCTAAGTGTGTGTGTCATACTCTCTTACTTATTACAAGCATACACAAGGTGGTAGATCTGGTTGTTAATTTTTTAAGGCCTCATAAGTAAGCTTGTTGCAGTGACTGTATTATATATTACTTATAATGTTTTATACTCCTAACTGTTAATAATAGTTATGTGTAAACCAGTTGATGAAGATACACTGTGTGAAACCTTAATAAAATGTATCCATTGGCCTTTTAGACAGAGAGCAATGTTAAGTATGCGTTTGTCTTGAAAAGCAGCAGTCAGGCCCGATCATCTCGAGTGGAGGCCGAACAGAGGAAGATGAGCCTGCATGGTGCCAGTGGAGGCTGTGACCGCTCACGTGACCGCCGCCGCTCCAGCGATCGCTCCAGAGACTCCTCGCATGAGAGAGAAGGCCAGCTCACGCCCTGCATTCGAAACGTCACCTCACCCACCCGCCAACACAACAGCGGTGAGTGTGCATGGAAAGAATACAGGGCTTATATGGATGTCATGTTAAAGGTCCACAGCTCTTGGCAGCTACTGTTAGGAAACAGCTGACTACATTTATCAACTTATAGCTCAGACATGGTTTATATCTCTACTGTTTTTGGCTGTAAATGGATCAAGTCAGCACTAATCCACTTGTTTGTGTTTAAAACTAGCTTGCAATAATAATAATAATAACTTATTCATACAGCCCTTTACAAAAACAATGTTAAAAGTACTTTACATGGTTGAACGAGGATTAATACATTTCAGGACTGAAGGAAATAAACTCAGGCAATTAAAATAATACAGACATAGGTAACAATAGTAAAACAGATAACAAGTGTTGGCAATAAAATGGTGTGCTGGAAAACCCTTTTTCAATGATTCAGCAAGCCTTAGATCCTCTGGCAGGGAGCTCTAGAGCTGAAGGGCCTTGACTGCCCGGTCACTTTTAGTCATGAGCCGGGACTAAGGAACAGCCAGCAGAGTTGGCTCTGGGTAGTAGCTGTCGTTTGATTGTCTGGATACAAGACACATGTTCTGAGTAGGGTCTTTCCAGTCTGATTGTTTTAGATCAGCGATGGCCCATTACTCAAATGGTTGCTCAGGAATGTTTATGAATACAAAAAGCTCTAAATCAAGCTGAAAAATGATTAAAACAATTTTTATATATTAAAGTTGCTTGTTTCTGATGGACAGTGTTCTGTCTGTCTGTAGACCGGGAACGAGATGGTGGCCCATCATCCAGGCCCAGTAGTCCACGGCCTCAGAGAGTCTCTCCCAGCGGCTCCAGCAGCAGCGGGGTGGTGAGCAGTCGCAACAGCAGCTTATCGAGTACTGAAGGCACCTTCAAAAGCTTAGGAGTGGGAGAAATGGTTTTTGTCTACGAGAATCCCAAGGACGGAGGAGCGAGTGCTACTGTCGGAAACCGAAACATTAGGACCTCAGAAAGAGTCACTCTGATTGTTGACAACACACGTTTTGTAGTAGATCCTTCCATCTTCACTGCACAACCCAATACCATGTTGGGCAGGTACAGTATACTTTGAGCATCATTATTATTTGTCCTTACTCATAGCCACAATAACTGAAAGTATTTACCTATAAGTAGTGTATAAAATTCACCATATATGCACATAAATGTAAATATTAAATATTTCCCTTGTCTGTGATTACGAGAATTAACCAAAGCTTCTTTATTTCAGAATGTTTGGATCTGGAAGAGAACACAATTTCACACGGCCCAACGAGAAGGGGGAGTACGAGGTGGCTGAGGGCATTAGCTCAACAGTTTTCCGAGCAATTCTGGTCAGTCTCTATCTAACATTTATCAGTGATTGTAGACTAAAAATGAAACACTTCATATTATTACAATACAATTCAACAGCGCTAGTAAAGTAAAACCTCTAAAATGACAATAAAGCTAAACCGTCACCCCTCTAAGATTGTGTGTTGCCTGCATTGCATTTAGTTAAGTGCATCTAATAAACTGGTAACTGATGTATATGATGGAAATATTATTAGACTAAATGCAGGAAATCTAAATTTGTTTTGTGGTGCAGTGAGAGAGTGATATGCTAATTTCTGAAAAGGGTGCTGTTAGTGACTTCTCGAAATGTTGAGACATGGTAACACTTTGTTGTCAGATTCCTGTTTCACACATAAAGGGGGGAAAAAAAAGACGTTCAGCTACAAATAGACAGCTCCAGTACATTTAATTTAATTTCTTGATATTTAGTGTCACATATACATACATACTACATTTACCCTTGGCCTACTGAGAATCCATCTATTTGTTAGATTGAATAATGAATGAGTTCCTCAACCTTTGAAGTCTAACCTGTGGAACTCTAAGCTTTTATTAGATGATAAAATGCTGTACCAAAGTAAGGCACTGTTACAGAGTTACATTTTATTTTTATTTTTATTGAAAGCTTTCCGTGTTGATTTGTTTTATGTATATTTAATCTTATGAGTTAATGGATTAACACAGTGTTTGAAATGATTACCTTCTATGTGATTTCTGTCTAATTGACAGGATTATTACAAATCTGGGATAATCCGCTGTCCTGATGGAATCTCCATCCCTGAGTTGCGGGAGGCGTGTGACTATCTATGCATCTCCTTTGACTACAGCACCATCAAATGCAGAGACCTTAGTGAGTATTTCTCTGGGGCCGTGAAGCTGTTAGTGTTACCCCATTATTGGTGGCAGTTTGAGTTCACATGAACAAGAAGCTGCAAATAATCTGGTCTAATGTAGATAGAAAGGTTTTGTTTTTATTTATGGCCTGTCAGGCTTCACACACGTTCAACATATGGTGGACAGTTCTAATAATAACAATAACAATACACTTTATTTATACAGCACTTTTTAAAACAAAGTTACATAGTAAGGCAAATGAAATCAGACAAATACAATAAAACAGATAAAAACGTGTTCTAAGAGTCATTATGAATGGGTTTACTTCTTCTATCTGATAATGTCAACCTCCTTTGTTATCAGGTGCCCTGATGCATGAGCTCTCTAATGATGGAGCTCGGCGACAATTTGAGTTTTACCTGGAAGAGATGGTTCTTCCTTTGATGGTGGCCAGTGCCCAGAGCGGAGAAAGGGAATGTCACATTGTAGTTCTTACCGATGATGATGTGGTGGACTGGGATGAAGAATATCCACCACAAATGGGAGAAGAGTATTCACAGAGTGAGTAAAGACTAATACAGACACACAGGTCTGCACATACACCAAAGATATGTGTTTAAGAATGGTTGTTTTGTTTCTCTTTGCAGTCATCTACAGCACAAAACTGTACAGATTTTTCAAGTATATTGAGAACCGAGATGTTGCCAAATCAGTTTTAAAGGAGAGAGGATTAAAGAAGATAAGACTGGGCATTGAAGGTAAGTTGAACCTTCTAATGATAGATATTGATGTTTTTAATCTCTTGTCAGCGGAGTGAGCTTTTACTGAAAGGCATTTTATTCAGATACAGTTTGAGGTGCTGACTCTAAGTATAGAGTAGCTTCAAAGAAGTAGTTATACATGGATAGGGAAGACAACTGACTTCAAGCACGGGATTGTTTTGATATTCCTGAGAACGATACCTACTGAGATGTAAGATAGTTTTAAATACCCTCTTTCATGGTGTGATTGGTTAGCATGCTGTAATAGGTTCCAGTTATTATAGACAGAAGTAGACAAAACATGTCAATGCAGAATTTTTAACACAAAAGAATGTTGAGACAAAACATTAGTTTCATGTATTACAATATTGAAGGAATATAATTTATATATTCTTCATTGGTCTGGCTGTGCCCTGCTTTGTGTTATATGACCTTCAGCTGCCTCACCTAACCAGTTTATGGTGTGAAACTGATTGGTTTACAGAAATAATGTGAAAATGTCCAAAGTAAGTTGTTAAAAAGTCACGTCATTTTCTTTGGTTGGATGTTTTTTGTTGACTACTAGGTACTAAAACCCTACCTTATCTAATCTGGGTATTATACCAAGAGATCCAAAATAAATGCAGCTATTGAAAACAAACCCTAGTCATAGTGGAAATGTATATCAGAACTACTTCTAAGCACTGAAATATCATTAGTGTATTGACTACTTCACCTACTGGTTAGTGAGCTCTTGCTCGTTGATTCTGGTGTTTTTGTGTTCTTGGTGAACAAGACTTGTTAACACATACAGAGCTAATGATTGGTCCGCACTGTACTTTCGGCAGGCTACCCTACATATAAAGAGAAAGTCAAAAAACGACCAGGAGGTCGTCCAGAGGTAATTTACAACTACGTCCAGAGGCCCTTCATCCGCATGTCCTGGGAAAAGGAAGAGGGTAAAAGTCGCCATGTGGACTTCCAGTGCGTTAAGTCCAAGTCCATCACCAACCTGGCGGCAGCAGCAGCAGACATCCCCCAGGATCAGTTGGTGGTGATGCACCCTGGTCCTCAAGTGGATGAACTGGACATCCTGCCTAATCACCCACCTAGTGGGAATCACTACAGCAACAACTACAGCAACGAGCCTGACCCTGATGCACCTTCACCTGCAGTCTGAGGACACACTGGTCCTCTTTCAATGCCTCTGCCCCTCTCCTACTCCTCTAGTCCTACTCCCAGCATGCTGCAGCATGGAGCGCCAGGGGTACCATAACCATATTGCCTTGACACCTCCTTTGCAGCCTTAGAGCCTCAAGAACCTGGTTGACTGTAGAGAAAGAAACGCGAGGGACATAAGTGTTGGACATAAAAAAGTGTTCACTATTATTTTCATTTTGTTTTTTACTTGACCAAAGGAATTTATTTTTCTGTTTGGAGAAAAAACAGTAAAACACTTATTTACATTATTAACATTATTATTGACAATGTTATTGTACCTTAATTTGGTGGGTTTGGCTGAGCACTCTTGTGGCGTCACTGTTTTCTCACAGATTTTATTTCACTGATGAGTTTGATTTTGATTCTCATGGGTGGCCTAACTACTAAATGTGCTTTGGGGGGAAGAAAACAAGACTTGCTATAGAAAAAAAATAAGACTGTCTGGTCATGGAGAAATTCAGTCATCACCACTTAGTGTCATGATCTCCAGTTGAACTTCTCTCAGATGTCTTTGAATCTTGTAATTGGGTATGTAGTCATTGGCTGGATCTGATATGTGATGTTATGCTCCTCCCGCAGCCAAGATATGAAGCAGAGCACAAGCTGTTGTGGTCAGAAAAATTTTGTGCAAAGCTTGAAATTGTTGTTAAAAAATAAAACATAAAATCATCAAATAAAGACATCAAAATAACATTTTTGTATATTTTATCCTTGATTGTAAAACCTGTTGATAGATTCAGTAAGACCTGTGACAGGAGTGAGCCCACTGATGTGATGAATAACACAGGAAGTGAGTGAATAGTGATGTACACTCAAGAGGGATATCTTACCCAGAATGGATCACAATATTTCATAATTTTCTTTGCACAATGAATAAAATATTGAGAGATACAGATGCTGCCAGTGTGCATTTGCCACCAAGGGAATATTAATTTCCAGAGTCTAGAAGCAAACCAAAAAGAGCTTTTCTCTATGTGCATGACTTGGCTTAGACTAGGATATAAATGGAAACCGAGCAATATAAAAATGAATTTATATAAGATTTATAGAAAGGCCCTCCGTAATGCCAGAGGAGCCTATTACTCAGCACTAATAGAAGAAAATAAGAACAACCCTAGGTTCCTCTTCAGCACTGTAGCCAGGCTGACAGAGAGTCACAGCTCTATCGAGCCACATATCCCCATAAACTTAAGTAGCAATGACTTCATGAGCTTCTTCTATAATAAAATTATTACTATTAGAGAAAAAATTAATCACCAACTGCCATCAACAGTTATCAGTGGCTCTCCAAGTTCAGGGACTTCTGTCAATGTAAACTTAGATGTATATTTAGACTGTTTTTCTGCTATCGATCTTCATCAGTTAACTTCAATCATTTCTTCATCGAAGCCATCAACCTGTCTGTTAGACCCGATCCCAACTAGGCTGCTTAAAGAAGTTGTTCCCTTAATTGGCACTTCTTTACTGGATATGATTAATCTTTCTTTATTATCAGGATATGTACCACAGTCCTTTAAAGTAGCTGTAATTAAACCCCCCTCTTAAAAAGTCCACTCTTGACCCAGGGGTTTTAGCCAACTATAGACCGATTTCTAACCTCCCGTTCCTCTCTAAGATTCTGGAGAAAGTAGTCGCCAAAGAGTTGTGTGACTTTCTACATAACAATAGTTTATTTGAGGTTTTTCAGTCAGGATTTAGAGTTCATCATAGCACAGAGACAGCTCTGGTTAAAGTTAATAATGACCTTCTGACTGCTTCTGACAATGGACTTGTCTCTGTACTTGTATTATTAGATCTTAGTGCTGCATTTGACACCATTGACCATGATATTCTTTTACAGAGACTTGAGCATCAAATTGGCATTAAAGGAACTGCCCTAACCTGGTTTAAGTCATACTTATCAGATCCTTCTCAGTTTGTACATGTTAACGATGAATCCTCCATAAATACTAAAGTTAGTCATGGAGTTCCACAAGGTTCTGTACTTGGACCAATACTATTTACTTTATATATGCTCCCTTTAGGCAACATTATTAGGAATCACTCCATTAACTTTCACTGTTATGCAGATGATACGCAGTTATATCTATCAATCAAACCCAATGAAATTAATCAATTATCTAAATTACAAACATGTCTTAAGGACATAAAATCCTGGATGACCTGCAATTTTCTGATGTTAAACTCAGAAAAAAACGAAATTCTTGTTCTTGGCCCCAAAAACCTTAGAGACTCATTGTCTAAAGATATAGTCACTCTAGATGGCATTAACTTGGCCTCTAGCACCACTGTCAGGAATCTTGGAGTTATCTTTGATCAGGATTTGTCATTTAACTCCCACATAAAGCAGACCTCTAGGACTGCCTTCTTTCATTTACGTAATATTAGAAAAATTAGACACATACTATCACAGACAGATGCAGAAAAACTAATCCATGCATTTGTTACTTCAAGGCTGGATTACTGCAACTCTTTATTATCAGGTTGCCCCAATAAGTCCATTAAAACGCTCCAATTAATTCAGAACGCTGCAGCACGAGTACTGACAGGAACTAGAAAAAGAGATCACATCTCTCCTGTACTAGCTACTCTGCATTGGCTCCCTATAAAATGTAGAATTGAATTTAAAATCCTCCTCCTCACCTATAAAGCTCTTCATGGTCAGGCCCCTTCATATCTTAAAGAGCTCATAGTACCCTATTACCCCACTAGAACACTACGTTCTCTGAATGCTGGGCTACTTGTGGTTCCTATAGTCTCTAAAAGTAGAACAGGAGCCAGAGCCTTCAGTTACCAAGCTCCTCTCCTGTGGAACCAGCTTCCAGTTGTGGTTCGGGAGGCAGACACCCTCACCACATTCAAGAGTAGGCTTAAGACATTCCTCTTTGATAAAGCTTATAGTTAGGGCTGGATCAGGTGAGTCCTGAACCATCCCTTAGTTATGCTGCTATAGGCCTAGACTATCGGGGGATTTCCCATGGTGCACTGAGCTACTCTCTTCCTCTCTCTTTCTGCACTCATTCATGTCCCTTTAATGCATGTTACTAACTCCACTTCTTCCCCGGAGTTCTTGTGCTTTCTCGTCTCGCAGGTTCTCATGGATCCTGGTGGAGCCTCCTGCCATGGTCCTGCTTGACTGCCATTGCCAATACTGTTGTTGCTGTGCACCTGTCTGTCTGTCTGTCGCTCTCTCTCTCTCTCTCTCTCTCTCTCTCTCTCTCTCTCTCTCTCTCTCACCCCAACTGGTCGAGACAGACGACCACCCACCTAGAGCCGGAGGATCTGTCCTAGGTTTCTGCCTTTTAACAGGCAGTTTTTCCTTGCCCTTGTCGCCAAGTGCTTGCTCATGGTGGTACTGTTGGGTCTCTGTAATTAATGTTAAAGAGTTCGGTCTAGACCTGCTCTATTTGAAAAGTGTCCTGAGATAACTTCTGTTATGAATTGGCGCTATACAAATAAAATTGAATTGAATTGAATTGAATTGAATACAACTTGGCTTTCACTTAAGTACAGATTATTTGCTTTATCCAGTTAATGCAAAAGCAAAAACCAAAACGGATTAAATACTCAAAAAAAAAAATATATATTTAGTACTACAGGAATAAATCAGAGATTTATGTCCTTACACTAGCCTTATCATACAGTACACTGAACTGAGATCAAGACTTGATACAGCCAAATGACTGCACTGGAAAACGTACAGAGGATCATGAACATGAACATTTCTCTTTTTGAGTTTTTATCTGCCCCAAAGCTGATCTTTTTTCCTTCTTTACCTCTTTATTATGGCAGAAAACAATCTTAAATATCACATCTTGTAGCAGTGACTGCACTTTCTAATGTACCTAGATGCCAACTACCTTTAAAGGTCCAATATGTAACATTTAGGAGGATCTTTTGGCAGAAATGGAATAAAATATTAATGTCAGGTATGTTTTCATTAGTGTATAATTTGTTGTTTTTTGTGTTTTCTTTACCTCAGAATGAGCCTTTATCTACAGAGGTAGCGGGTCCTCTTCAACGCGGGCTGCCTTGTTTAACTGCCATGTTTAAACTTTCTACAGTAGCCCAGAATGGACAAACAAAACACTGGCTCTAGATAGTGCCTTTTTGCGTTTTTTGTAACCACCCTAGTTTTTAACTGCACACTCGGAAGTCTGAGCTGTATGCAAATAGTTCAAAAACATCCTCTTTGGCTGATGCTGTGGCTTCCTGTGTCGTTGAGTAGTCCTGGGCTCGGTTGCCTCTTTGCTTCTCTCTGGCCAAAGTCTCCGCCTTTCCCCCCACAGGGTTCTCCACAGCTGCAGACCCCACAGATGGAACAGCCTCCTCAAACACCTTCTGGCCCTCTGAGATCACAGTGGACAGGCACATCCTTTCTCTAGGAAGGAAGGTAATCAAACGTGGAGTTACTAACAAAAGTAACCAATCTGCAATATTTTATTTCATATTTTATTCTCATTTTAAATGTTTTTAGTCAGTCTACTGTATACCAACAAATATTAATCCAGTATGAATCATTTCACATTGAAAGTAATTGGGACTAAGGAGACAAAACATTGTTTTTCCCCAAAAAAATTTCTGTCTGGTGTCACCTTCTCAAGTCTTAAAAACATCTACTCTTTATTATTATTATCATTATCGTCAATATCCGTCAGGAGATGGTTGTACCTCTGGATTTCCAACAGTTCCTTGGCAATTATTAGTCCAATCTCCCCAGCGCCTGCCCTTGTACCACAAGGAAATCCAGACACCCTTTGGAAATCCGGCTTCCCTTCACCTGCAACATGACACGTGTTACAGAAGGTGCTGCTTTGCTTTGGTGATTCAAATACCTAAAGGAAAGTGTTGCATCACCTGGCATCAGTACAGTGGCCATTGTGTGGTGGAAGGCAGCCATCTGATGATAACTGTACTTAGGTCTGTCTTCTGAAGGACTGTTGTTTAATAAAAAGTAAAAGAAGGAGGAAGGAGTGATGGCTGTGTATCATGTCACATGTAGCTCTAATGGCTCTAGGGATGGCAATGTCGGTCTGCTGGTTGGTCAGTCCATCACTTTGATCCAGACAGAAATTACTTGACAGCTATTAATTGAGTTTCGTGCTCCCCAGAGGATGAATCCAGATTTTGGCGATCCTCTAACTCTGCCAAAAGTTTCACTTATCCTGTCAAATATCTCAATATCTACTATATGGATTAGCACAGAATTTGGTACCAATAACCATGGTGCCCAGACCTTGAATCCTGCTGACTGTGGTGATTTTATTACTTTTCCTCTATAGCTCCAGCATAGTAGATGTAGATGTCTGGTAATCTAATGCTTAATAAAAAAGATATTACATAAAATATAAAACTAGAAACTGCAAATAAAGAAATAATGTTATACAAAATGATGGTACAAAGTGATAGTATGTTAAAAGCAGTTTTACTTACCTTACTACAGTATTGGTAGAGACGATGTACTCCACCTCTTTGGTCCAAGGGTTCATAAAACTGAACCAGCGGCTTCTCAGTGTGACGAATGAGCCATCTTTTATTTTTAACTTGTAGCAGTTTGTATTGATCTTCTCTCTCATCTGGAGCACTTACAGCAGACAGCGACAGAGGGGGACAAGGACAGGTAATGGATGAACTGTCCTCAGGTAAGATGAATTACAACCCTATTTTCACCCATACCTCCATTCTGCTACAGAAATGGCAGCAAAGCACTGTAATTCTGCCAGAGCAGGTCATTCTGCCATGCACTAATCAGTGTGATAACTGCACAGTACATGGAGAGCAGCCCAATATGTATACTGTGGATATGTAAAAAACAGTTAATCAAGTGCTGTGTTGTCCCTTCTGTAAGATGCATACCTTGCCGGTGAGACTCAGCTAAATGAGCAATATCATCTTCATGACAGTATTCGTAAAATGAAGTTCCCAGCAGCTCTTGCGGTAGATAAGCCAAAATGGCAGTGGCCCTTAAAAGGAAAAGAACATATTCACTCAGAAACATGATTGATAATAAATACATACACATAAACATTAAATTAAAGTTGATTCAAAACTTTAATGGCAAAAGTTCTCACCTTTGATCTACAAAGACAAACTTTCCATCAATAGCAAGACGTGAAACAAACTCGGTGGGCTTGACCTTGATGTGATTCTGCACTGGCTGAGAAATAGAGTGGGGATGTAAACGACCAACAGCCACCAGACAGCTTAAGTTACATCCATCATTGTCGACCTCATTATTTTCATACAGATCCACCTCAGTGGGGGACACACTCTTTAAGTAACCAGTGCTGTGAATGGTGCAGAAGCCCATATGATCTGCTGTAAATAAAGGAAAAGGGTCCGATTAGAAAATGATAAGTAACATTAATGTTTGAGTATCAGACTTTGGCAATAAGTAAGGAATGCTACCATTTTTTTTCAAGCAGCTGGTGGAAAAATCTTCATCTTCCATGTTTCGGTTGCACTTCATCCTGCAGAAAAATGAGCGTCTCACCCCAGAACAAAGTCTTAAAGAACTTGGGTTGATATCTGTCAAACATGTAAAAACATTTTAAAAAAGGGTAACCGTGTAGATGACAGTCTGTAAATTACAGTGTTATCTATAACATCAATAAAGTACAGACTATTATTACAGTATTATTGTGGGTTACTTTTTGCATCGATGATTTTCTCTTGCGGTTCGGTAACCGCTGAGGACAGCTGCTCCTTGACTTTGCCGATGTCTTGAGGATGCATGTAATCAAACAGGCTCTGACCAATCAGGTCATTCTGGAGACAAAGAGACGAAATGCAGGAAGAGGAGTGGGGGTGCAAGATGCAACATTATTATCTAACACCATATTACACAATTCAGTATCCACAATATGCCATTTGGTTTTAAAATGTATACTAATAAAGTCAAATGTGTAACACACTGAAGTGAGATTGTGTAGAACTGTTTCATGTGTCATTTAACATTACAGAAACACTAAGTACCACCTACCTGGCTGTATTTTAGGATCTTGTACACTGATTCAGAAACAAACAGTATTTTCCCTCGATCACAGTCAACAACAAACAGAAAGCCATCAGCTGCCTGTGGGCAACAGAAGAGTAAGACAAGGACCTGGACAGACTAAGACCAAGAGGGTTTTCATATGTTATAACATCTGAATGATCAAATATGAAAACCTTGCAGTCAGATCTGACCCAAGGCTCTTAGTGGTACGAATACTCCCTAACCCTTTATCCATTGATTTCCTGATGTCAGTGTCAGAGTGGCCACAGGGTGAGCAGAGTAGTTCATAAACATTTCCTTTACAACTTCCTCTGCCCCGTGGTTTTCTCTTTCTCCTAACTTCCAAGTGCCCATGACGTCCTTAGATGCCAGCTAACCTGCAGAATAATCACATCTCAGCCGCTTATATCTGCAATCACATACCTCTGGCCAGTACCCTAAACTTATGACCATAGCTAGGGGCTGTAAAAGAAATTGATTTTGAGAATGTGCTTTATAGCTCAGCTCTCTTTCTACCTCCAAGGTTTGATACAAATACTGCATGCTGGTCCTAACTGCCTGTCTCATGGTTCTTTATTTCCTCCCTTATACCTGCCCCCTCACTTTAACTGACTAATCAACCTTTTTCCTGGGAGAAAACAATGTCCTCCGGCTTAGAGGTTGGTGATCCTCACCCCATCTACAAACCACTCCACCGACATCGTAGGTCATGGTTAAATGATGGCCTTAAATTTCATCATCAAATTACTTGGACCAAAATACACTTAATTATGTGGCTTCCATCGGTGGTTGTAGCTCTGACTCACCTTGAAGAATGTTTGTGCCATGGTTGAGCACTGCTATTCATTAACATGCAGAAAAGTAACAGGACTGTTCAGACAATAACGCGTCTGTGAGGATGGCACATGCCCACTCTAAATGTACGTGGCAGTTTTTTGTGGGCAAAGCGATATGGAGATAAAATCTATTGCACTAGCAAATCACAGCAGAACCTAACAAATACGAATAATTGTGAAACAGCCTCTATGCTAGAATAAGCAGGAATTATTCCTCAAACAAGGAAGACTTTTTTTGTCCTGTAATCTTAATTCAAATAAAACCAATTCAAATTATGAGGTGGGCTGTAACAGTGCTGGTTTTTATTAAGGCTTGAGCATACCATTTGATAGTTAGTAGTGTGATGTTTTTGAAGGCTTTTTGTAGTCCAACTTGATTTGCATGAATTGATAAATACAGTTTAACTTTGAAAAAGTTGCACCCTTATTCATACAATTTTCATTTGCATCCATGATGGCAGACTTACCCTCTGTATTAAGTGTTTTAGTTCCTCATCTGATAAGAAGGCAGGTTTGTGATTAACTTCTGTGTAACGGTTCCCAGCAGAACCTGATTTTCAGAGACAACATATTAATCAGCTGATTAAATATGAATCATTTACAGTGTTTAACTGTAAGGAATTATCATTCTCTCACCTCGTAAGGTCTTTATGTGTTGGACTGCCATACGCAGGACTGAGAGTTTGTCCAGTTTGTGTGATTTACCATTGCATGTAGGCACTAACGATGCCAGCTCATCTATGAAGCAGTTCATCTTAACCCTGCGTCTCTTCTCGATCTGACTGTGAGCCCTCCTGTAACACAAACAGTAAAGAGATCATTTCCATTCTTGTTTCCATACTATCATGTGAAAACAAAAGCAGCTGTGGTCACCTGGCATTCTTATCACAGCCTTGCTGGTCGTCACAGTCCCTGTAGAAATAAGACACATTGATAAAGCATGCAAGACCTCGCAAATATGTTTGATTATGATATGGAAGTGACGCTTTTTAGACATTCACCTCTGGAGTAAAGCATTTATTCTGTGATAATAATGTGTGATATGCAGCATTAAATTATATTATACGAATAAAAACACATTATAAAACACAATAGAAATCTAACATCGGAAATTGTTTAACTAATATTTTGGGTAACAAAATGTTTTATTTTACACTGAGGGCACAGCACAATTAAACTGATCACACAGTCAAATCTTAAAACAATTACAGCTTAATCCTTCCCAACAGGGAAAAAATACACAATTTCCATCTCAAGGTAGAATGACTATGTCATATCTTTTCGAGAGGTGAGGATATTTAGTTCCAAACAATGAATAACATTTCTTTAAACAAGGAAATTTCAACATCTGAACAAAGGAGGTGAACAGAAAGCAAACACATAGAAGGAATCAAAAGCAACACATTTGATCAGCCTGCAGGTGTAATGTGCAGTAGGAGCGTGTCCGTGGACTGACTTACAAGTATACGGTGGAGCTTCCTTTCCTCTTCAGAGAAAGGTTTTTGCTGGGTGTGTGAGTGACTTCCATACTTTAATCTGTCAGGTCCATGTGGAGTCGACTTTATACAAGTACAGAGGGTGTTACATAAACCACCAGTCATCAGGTTGTTATTAAACTTGAGAAAACAATGCTGGTACTTACAGGAGACTCAGGCAGCGGAGCTCCACAATTCACCTGCTTGATAGTCAGTATACACACCTCAACAAGGTAGCTAAGAATCAGATGTGGCATATATACTGTAACAGGAAACTGAACTTCAATCAAGATATGGTAAGACCCTTTAAGATGACAATTTTTATCTACAATTAACCATCTTAAAAACATGATTTAACAGGACGTGTATGCGTTTCTTAACTGAAGATCAAAATCAGCTCTGCATAAAACATGATACATTTGATAATAAACGGTCTGATGTAACTGTCCTGTAAAAGGTGATTATGTAAAAGGATGCTGTTACGTAGCTTAAGTAACAACTTCCCCAAGTTGAAGTCTGCAGTTGATTGTCATGTTGGCTAATTAGAAACTTTAGACTATGGTTTTAAAAATTATATCTTAAAAATACATTTTCAGATTTCTCAGAGTGGTTTCTGAAAAGATGAAGCAAAGTCAACCTGAAAATAAAAAAAGTTGAACAGATGGCAGGAGTAATCACACACCTGTTTACACATCATCAATGTCAGTAATATGAGCTTTTTGTTGGCGCCGGGGATTAAAGCAACATTTTGTTCTTACAGTTTCCAACACAACATCCTCATATTACTAAACATCATAATCCCTCTTTTTTAGTACCATTACAACATTGTTATTAGCCTATTTTTCAACGTTTACTATTATATAACAGCATCTCTGGTTTCAACAGATTACACTGAATGTCTTTTTAAGATCTTCTTCTCTATGCACTGCTAATGCAGAAAACACAAGCAAGCACAAAACAAAACGGAGCTGAGTTACAACACAACAAAAGTTTCCAGGGGACATAAAACTGATAGTCAGAGCCCTGTGGGAGCTGCTGTTGAATGCTAACAAAGTAATTGTTGTTTTAGTTATTTTTGTTTAAATGGCAAAGTGCTCAGGTTTTACTATCCAGTACAGAAGTATGTTTTCTTAGAACTATGGACAGAACCCCCTCAGGAACACATTTAAGCTGTTTAGAAGGAAGAAATCCTCTATGGGAAATGTTATTGGGTTACAGGGGCTAGTGGAAAAGTAAACCCAACCTAAAATGGAAATTTAGGTTGGGTTTTTTAATCTCAGTTCCAAACAGAATTTTGGATCGCTCTGCTAACATAACAACAAAGGCAGATAAAACCATTTGGGCTATTCTTGTGTACAGTGTGACTCTTCTCAGTTTTTCCTTAAACAGCTCCTGTAGTTTAACATTATTCATAGAGCCAGAAAGAGGCTACAGGATGAACAACAGCAATTCAAAATGGACACAGTGATCTATGTGCATCCTAAATGTGAAACTAGAACAATGAGTGCCCTACCCAGGATTTTATTGAAGAGGTTGCTGGGGTTGATATACCTTATACATCCACTGTTAGGGGACTCATCTACTCTGCCTTTTGATAAGAGACAAAAGGCAGGGTTTATTAAAACTGTATTGATTGATGAAAAACAAAGATCCCAGAAGAATGAGCAACCTCCGTCCACTTTTTTGACTCTAGGAAATTGCTTCATAAATGGCTTTTTGAAAAAAAAATAAAAAAATCAATCTGAACAGTGTGTGTTTGATAAGAATCAGAGTGATGCTGCTAGACCTCAATTTAACTGGCCACCATGACAATCTGACTGTGTCATTATTATTATTTGTTTGTAGAAGCAGTAAACTGTAGTATGTATGTATATTACTGTGGTAGTAGTTTATGTTTTGGATGTTCTGTTATCAGAATAAAAAGGGAGAAAAGACAAATATTCAACACCCTGGTAAATGCAGTTACACAAGACAGTAAGTCAGGAAATGAAAAGGCTTGTGTTGTCTTTCAAACCTTGTTTAAAAGTTTATCATTATTGTTGTAATTTGACCTCATAAAAAGAGATTATCTCATCAGCAAAGACTTTCGGACCATCACCCCTTCTCACCACATGCTGGCAGCAGAGCACAGCAAACAGATTGAAAGATTCAATTAAGTTGGAAAGGTTTGAAAAAAAAAAAAAATCGCTGTGAACTAAATTTTAGTTCACTGAAATAAAAATAAAAACAAAAATTAAAACTGAAACAATATTGTGTACTTACAAAACTAACAAAAATAAAGTAGTTAAATAGTTTGAAATGTCTTTCAATGTCTGTCAATTTGGTCAAGTTTGTCAATCCAACGAGCATCGGTTTCTATGTTAATTTCTATTTCTATGTTTTCTATGTTAATTGAGTCAATGTGTTTGTATTGCAACACCTATTATGACCACATTATAATAATTTAAAAAAATACTGAAACTAATAAAAACAAAACTAAAACTGAAATATATTAAACAATTAAAACTAAACTGAAACGAGTAAACCCACTCTGGAAACTAACTGAAACCAAACTGAAGTAAAACTAATAAAAAATTAAAAAACTATAATAACTCTAAGATACAGTCACAGTTTCAGAGTAAGACTTCAGGCAGTCCAGGGTCACTCTAGTTTATACACAGAGGTCATTGAGTTCAGTAATTTTTACTGCTGGGTTCCTGAAGAAGTCCAGGGCTCCTGTCACAACCTCTGCTACATTACAATACATTTATATGGCTGATTATTTTGTCCAAACTCCACGAAAGAGGTTGCATGTAACCTTCAGCATCACACATTTGGTACCTGAAACCCTCCCTCCTGTTTAGTTTAGAAGATAACACTTTGGCTGGTATCAGTGTTTAAGCCAAACCATTTACAAGCAAACATCTTTTTGCATTTGAATTAGAACAAAAGATAAATTAACATTAAGACCGAACACTGGGTCTTAGACAGCAACCTGCTGAACATCCTCAGATTGTATCTGCAGTAAGTGATGACACATCAATCAGCCTTATAATGGACACACAATTGATGCCATTAGCACACATCACACCTAATACATTTAATAATTTGGAGAAATACATAATTAGATTTGCAGGGCAGTTTAATCAGCGCACACATAAAAAAAAAAGAAATGATGAGTGAGACATTTTAACCTCGGTGCTTCATAGAGGCACAAAGATTTTGGCTTTTGGGCAGTTTTCCCATTCTTTTAACAGCTGGGTGAGAACAGGCTGTGGTCTTCTAATTTAATATAATTCGGGCAGATAGATGTGAACATGCAACAGTATACCTTATTTAACTCCAACCATCTGCTCTTTTTGTGGGATAAAGTGTCAGTGTAGCACATATTGACATGTGTAAAATCAAATGAAAAATGTATGGCCTGTTTTAATTGCAGCATTTTTTTTTACCTAAAATAAAAGTCTTCTCTGTAATTAAATATGATAAACACTCATATGTTGTTATTTATAGTGTTTCCCACAATAAATTGCGAGGTTGTTGCACGGCTTTTGTTCTTTTTGATTTCATGTTTTATATTTCAGGATTAACATGGATTTGTTTGTGCTATATAAGTTAAGATTTGTTCAGCAGATCAAACCTATATAAGTGGAAACAATATGAGAGCAGAGAGAAAAACAAAAAAACAGTATAGCCTTAAAGGTTTACTCAGCTGTTCATCATCTTTAAAGCCGCACACAAGACAAAATAATAAATACTTCTGCAGATCTGAGCTCACAATGCAAAATGCTGTTGGAGAGTCATATAGGATAAGTTAAAAATTAGTTAAATGTAGATTTGGGTATCATCTGAACACTGCAAGAAGCAATTTGTTTTCTTGCTGAAAAAAAATAAAACAAAAACATAAAAACACAATGTGAAACCAGAGACGAGGCAGGAACACAAAAGGTCAAGTGTCTAAGTCAGACAAAAGTAATCTGAGACTTAATGTGCTAGTGGGCAGATTTGTGTCTGGTGACTGAACCAAATCAGACCACCCATCAAATGAAATGCTTGATACTCTGCTACAGTGGAATATAACAGTGTTCATGTGATTATAATGTCAGGATTTTAAAACATAACTATGTGCACAATATGTATATTTATATATATATCTATACACATATATAAGCTTTTGTAACTCTTTGTCCAGCCTTAAAAAGACTGCTTGATTGTTATCATGCAACCATCTGTCAGGACTGAGTCATGAGGATCATTTTTGGCACATCCAGGGTTATGTTGAGGTCTGTGTTTCATGGAGAAAAAGATTCTTTGGCAGCTGGGATCAGATGTTGACTAAACTCTGTTATTGTCTGTCCAAGTCACGCTGGTGAAAACTGTGTGGCTGTTGAATTAAATAAACCGAATCACATGTTTTATCTGATGAAAAACTAGTCAAAACTAAATCTTATGACTAGATGTTTTGCCCACAGCTTAACGCTTGTGGTTTTCTCACTATTTCCTTTTTATCATCTGACTTGACACTTTTAATTTATTCTTTCTGCATAAGTATTTGTTATAATGTTTTTTTTTTCTTTTTAATTATTTAATATATTTAATGTATGTAGCTTTAAAATATACTGAAAACGTACTTACACAAGTGTCTTATCTTGTTGTTATACCTGCAGACATAATAAGCAGCCAGTGGCCACATAAACCTGTGCCTGATGAAATCACATCACCTGGTTAAACCCTATCTGCTTACATCCGAAAACCTAACCTGCTGTGGTAATGATGACTGTTATTGGATGTAAATGTTAAAATAGCATGCAAAAATAGAAGGTGCAATATATTTTGGATTTTGCACTGATTTCAGGCTGCCAAATTTTACACCTGGTCAGGGACACAGATGGAAACTAGCCTTTTGTCTAATTATAGCATATTTACAGCACTGTTTATTAATACGCACTGTTCCCGAGGAATAAATGTTTGCTGCTATGAAGGACAGGACTGCATGCAATACATGCATCAATCTGTCAAATTTGTGCTCATCATTCCTAATTCAGGATACAGTGAATAGACTGGGACTCTGGAA